AAGTCAGTAAAATGAAAGCTCAGAGACAAGATGACAGAACAACAAAATGAGACGAAAGTAGAGATTTCAAAGCAAAGGAAATAAATTAAGGACTAAAATAATATCAGTACAGGAAAATTAATAACACAGAAATAGTAGTAAGAATACAGACATTAAAGAAAAAATTAACAATAATGTTATAACAACATTAACAATAAAAATAATGTCACTTGAGATAAACCATGCCAAAAAGACATGGAGAACAAAGATGATATAACATAAGAATAACTGGTAATCTTAAAATCCAGAACCCTGCAAGGGAGAAAATCCTGAATGTGTTCAAACATACAAGTAAGACAATTTTGCTGAAAGAAGGAAGAACAGTAGGTAAGACTGGAAGTGCACACTCCTTTGCAGGAAAAACAAACAAACAAACAAACAAACAAAAAAAACTGATGCAGACTCATAACACCAAGATATTTTCTGAATCAATTACTAAATGTCAAAGATAAAGAAAGAATTCTTCTGTCATCTGAGTGGCATAAAGAGGAAAAAGTAGGCTGACTTCAAAAGTTTCTACAGCAGGGTGCCTGGGAGGCTCAGTTGATTAAGCATCTGCCTTCACCTCAGTCATCATCCCAGAGTTCTGGGATCTAGCCCTGCATGGGGCTCCTCACTCCGCCAGGAGTCTTCTCTTCCTACTGCCCTGCTCATGCTCTCTCTCTTTCCCACTCTCTCTCTCTCTCTCTCTCAAATAAATAAATCTTTTTTAAAAAAAGTTTCTACAGCAGGATGCCCAAGTGGCTGAGTTGATTAAGTGTCCAACTCTTGATTTTGGCTTGGGTCATGATCTCAAGGTTGTGAGATTGAGCCCATGCCACTCTTGGCATGGAGTCTGCTTATCCCTCTCCCTCTGATTCTCCCCCTACTCTCTTTCTCTCTCAAATAAATAAATAAATAAATAAATAAATAAATAAAATCTTTAAAAAAATTTCTATAGCATTATTAATCAGAAGGCAGTCAAGCAATAGCTGCAAAGTTCTGAGGAAATGGAAATGAGATCAAAGACTATTATACCCAGTGTGTGATTCAAATATAAAGGCAACAGACAAACATTCTCAAGCACATAAGAACTCAAAAATCATAGAAGCAGTGAGTCTTCAACATTAATTTGATAACAAAATTCAGCCAACAAAAAGTGGAATCAAAATAAGGCTTTCATGAATATAGATATATATATTTTGAATTGGGAGAAAGGTAGTAGAAGTATATAATTGCTAATTCCCTCAGCTTTTACAGAAGTGAATAAATTGATGTTTTCTAAAAATGAAAAAATAGCTAAAGAGGAAAAAATAATTTCAACCTCAAAGATTTTTTGTAATCATCCTTCTTGAATATATTAGAATCTTTTATGAAATAATCTCTCATTTGTCTGAAGTTCAAGAAAGCTCTTTGCATTCACTTTAGTTTCTTTTCCATTATTAAATTTAAGCAAAATAAAATTTAAAACACTTCATTAAAAAGCACATATAAGGGGTACCTGGAGGCTCAGTTGGTTAAGTGTCTGCCTTCAGATTGGGCCATGATCCCAGGATCCTGGGATTGATCCCCACATCGGGCTCCCTGCTTGGCAGACAGTCTGGTTCTCTCTCTGCCCCTCCCCACTGTGTGGGCTCTCCCCCACCCCTCAAATAAATACATAAAATCTTTTTTTTTAAATGCATATAATGTAATCCTACTTTTATATAAAATCACTTCTTCATATATCTTTATATCTATAAATGTGTATACACATATATGTACAGGTACATGTATACATATCATATAATATACTGAAAGAGAGAGATATAGTGCAATTTCTGGAATGAAGTTCACTTAATATTAATTATGGCCATATATAGGTGGTGGGATTTTAAATAGTATTTCATATTCTTTGTACTTTTATGTATTGCTTGAGTGTTTTTTTTTATAACAAATATGTGTTAGTTGAAAAGCAATAAGTTCCAAACTTACAGTGGTACTTGCAGAAATAGATTGATGGAATAGAATTAATAGTCCAGAAATAAACTCTTACATTTACGGTCTATTGGTTTTCAACAAGGATGCCAAGACAATTCAATGGAGGGAAAGAATAATCTTTCAACAAATGGTTATGAGAGAACTGAATAGTCACATGCAAAAGAATAGAATTAGATCCCTACCTCACAACATATATAAAAATTAACTCAAATGAAAAAAAAAAACCCTCAAATGGACAAGAGACCTAAATGGTAAGAGCTAAAGCTATAAAATAAAACACTTAGAAGAAAACATAGAAGCAAATCTTTATAGCTTTCAATTAAGCAATGGTTTCTTACATATAATAGCTAAGGTATAAGCAACCAAAGACAAAAAAGATAAATTGGATTTTATCAAAATTAAAAGCTTTTGTGCTACAAGAGACAAGAAAGTAAAAAGACAACCCATAAAATGAGAAAAAATATTTGCAAATCACATATTTGATAGGGGACCTGAATCTGGAATATATAAAGTATAACTCAAAAACAAAAGACAATGCAAATAGAAAATTGGCAAAGGATCTAAACAAATATTTCTCCAAAGAAGATATACAAAAAGCCAATGAGCACATAAAAAGATGCTCAACATCTGGGTGCCCGATTGGCTTGGTAAGTTGGTAGGTCCGTAGAACATGGATCTCTTTGATCTCAGGGTCATGAGTTCAAGTGTTCGGTGTGGAGCCTTCTTAAAAAAAAATGCTCAACATCATTAGCTATCAGAGAAATGCAAACTAAAACCACAATGAGATACCACTTCACACCGACTAGGATGGCTATTATCAAAAGAACAGAACAAGTGTTGGTAAGGATGTGAAGAAATAGGAACACTTGTGTACTGTTGGTGAGAATGTGAAATGGTGCAGCCACTGTGGAAAACAGTATCGAACTTCCTCAAATATAATTAAAAGACAAGAAGACAGGAACTCAAACAGTTATTTGTACGCTGATGTTCATAGCAGCATTACTGACAATAGCCAAAAGGTTTAAATAACCTAAGCATCCACCAACAAAATGTGGCATATACAAACAATGAAACATTCAGTGTTAAGGAGGGAAATTCTGACACGTGCTGCAACATGGATGAAACCCGAAGACATTATGCTCAGTTCCAAAAGTACAAATATTCCACTTATATGAAGTATCTCGAGCAGTCAAACAGAAAGTGGAATGATAGTTTCCAGGGCCCTGTTGGGGGAAGTGGGGGAAACAAGGTGGTTATGCTTAATGGATACAAGTGTCAATCTGGGAAGATTAAAACATTCTAGAGACGCCTGGTGCTGACTGCTGCACAACAGTGTGAAAGTACTTAATGTGCTGACCTATATGTTTTACAATGATTAAAATGGTAAATTTTGTTAGGTAGGCTTTACCAAAGTTTAAAAAGTAAATATTGAAATAAAGAAAGAGGAATGAAGTGCCGCTCCATGCTACCACATGGTAGGAGAGAATCCAGCACAAAAGGCCACATATTCTCTGATTCTGTTTATGTGGAACATCCAAAAGAGGCAAATCCACACTGATGGACAGTAGGATAGGGCTGGCCTGGCGCCGGGGGGAGGTGGACCTGGGGCAGTGACAGCTAATGGGCAGGAGGCTTCTTGTGGGACTGACGAAGATGTTCTGAAAATGACAGAGTGGTGAGGGTGCACAACCTCATGCATGTCTGGGAACCACTGACTTGCATACTTTAAAAGGGTGAAATTTATGGTATACGAATTATAACTCAATAAAGCTGTCATGAAAAACCAATAAAGTTGTTGTTCAGAAAAGATAAACAAAAGAAAACCTGAATGACCTGGTGGAGAAGGCGCTGAGTGTTCCACAGGAGGCTGACATCAGAACCTAAGAGGTCATGGACATACAACGCACTCATTTAACACTGAAGTAGCTCAGTGGGCAGTGGTTTTAAGCAGTGGGAATTTGGGCTAATCAGTCCACCAAGACTGATTAGTCCACATAAGACTTCTGAGCCTCTTTTCAAGATACCTTTCCAAGTATATGTTTAGGAAGACCCTACTTTCCCCTCAACCAAAAGAAAAAAAAAGAATGTAAGGGCAAGGGACAGTCATCTCGTCTTGTTTCACTCATGCTACTCCCTTCATATGTGTTCAGGTTGTACATACACATATGTCACATCTAACACTATGAAGTCACAATGTGACTTCAAAACTGTGTATGAGCACCACTGTCACATATCAAAAATAACCGTCAGACCAATCTGTGTTGAGACCACATCCTTCGAGCACTGTTTTCAGAGCCTCTCCTTCTTCTAACTTTCTTGCTATGTGCAGCCTCACAGACACCAGTATAAGCTGACAGTGTCTTTCTCTGATAGTTCTGTGGCCAGGCTGTCTGAATATTTCAGAGTATCTTCTTATTAAGAGATTTGTTGATCAAATATGCATGCCACATGTATGGTGTGCCAATTGTATATTAGGTACTGGTAAAATAAAGAGCATGGTCTGGCCTTGTTGAGCTTATGCACAGAAGGAGGAGGCAGAAAAAAAAACAAAAGGGACCCCCCCAATGACAATATAATTATGAATAATGGCAATGACAATGAAGGCAATGACAACAGCAAAGGGAAAAGAATAACAGTGAGTGCATATCTGTGCAGCTGGGGTGACTCTGAGATTGTGGTGTTCCAGCTAAGACAAAAGGATAAGAGGAAGCCAACTTTGCAAAGATCATTCCACGTAGAGGGAAGAGCAGGATTGTGTTGGTTTTGTTTTTAAGGTCACATAAGGTAGACTATCCACATCCCTGTGCACAGGACAGTTTTGGGTCACAGTCTGTCCTCTCTAAAACAACACCTTTCTGGGTCCACTTTGTTAACTCCCTATCTTTCCTACTGAATTAAATCGTAAATCTTTTCCCTACTTTTTGATACTCAAATAACCTAGTCCCCACATGCCACACTCCCTCCAATTATGTATCATGGACTTGTGACGACGCATAAATTACCTGGGAAAGAATCAACTGCCCATGAAATGTGTGCACAAATTTTCTTAAAAATGCAAAATAGGTGTCATCTCCAAGTCTTTGGGCAAGAAACCGGAGAAGGAAATAGCCCTAGAAGGAAGAAAAAAATAAAGATGCCTATCACAGGTTCATAAGAATACTGCTTACAACAGAGCCAACTCTAACGTACCCACCAGCGCTTTCTGCACATAGAGGAAGTCCTGTCTGACATGCCCCAGGCTGCCCTTCATATCTTTACCAGTAGGACTGGACCTGGAAATTAAGGAAAACTATTTTGTTCTCAACCATTCTATTAATGGTATCACCATCTCATTTTTCCTTGGTTTGTACGAAGCCTTATGTGTGTCATAGACCAAAAGTCAAGAGGGGTCCAGCTCCTGTCTCTCTCAGCTAGCAGGAAAAGTTTTAATAACATAAAATACTTCTTTATTCCTCCTGTCTTCTACTTGGAACCTAACAGCAATTTCGAGATTCTGCTCTTCAAAACTGACATGGAGCAGAGGAAGGGATGTACAGGGCAGGGAATCTGATTCATGTCTAATTTTGGGGGTATGAAATGTTTTAATTATTGGATGTCAGATACCTACCCAGTCAAATGACATTACAATGTGGATAATCTTTTTGTTTTGCCCCAGCCATGTTTATAGGTTTACACATATAACCTAAGAAGTGTTGCCCCATGGGGATCCCTGGGTGGCTCAGCAGTTTAGCGCCTGCCTTCAGCCCAGGGCTTGACCCTGGAGTCCCAGGATCGATTCCCACATCGGGCTCCCTACATGGAGCCTGCTTCTCTCTCTGACTGTGTCTCTGCCTCTGTCTTTCTCTGTGTCTCTGATGAATAAAAAATAAAATCTTAAAAAAAAAAGTGTTGCCCCATAACAACTGGCTTCTGCCACTTAGATGTACTTACCTTTAAATAATGAACCTGCATGAAGACCTTCTCAGGATTGAGCCCATGTTTGATGACAGATGATCCTGAGTCACTCACGTGGCCAGTTTTCTCTTTATTGGGTCTAAAATGATGCAGTAAAATTTTGTTTAAGTATGCACATTCTTCAATAATTAGACTATAATATCATCTTATTTCTTATTTTCAAAGTTGCTCAACAGTATCTGAGGTCTATTCAATTGTACCAGGTATAATTTAAAACAGTTTATATTACAAATTCATTTATTAAACAAGGAGGGATTTATATTTGGGTTGGCAACCCAAGGTTGGCTATTGGCAATATTTCACATCATTTTATCCAAGATTAAAGCCTTGCCAGACCCTCAAGGAATCTGAGCTCCAATATGAATTATTTAAGAACCTATGGGATTTTCTTTTAGTGGGAGTGATGGACTGGGACATGCAATGGAAAATGCAGTTTTACTCGAAGGGCAAAGAACTAAATCTTTTTAAAAAAATTCTGAAAGCCCCAATGTTGATCCACTTCACTTAACTTGCATTTAAGCAGTTAAGGCTTAAGAAATATTTGTACTCTGAGGCCATTTTAGAATCTCAAAACCAAAAACAAAAGTCATACCAGCTCATGTTTTTAGAACAGGTAGAGGCATTAACAGCATACATTTTAACCTCCTCATTTCACAAATAAGGGAAACTGAGGCATCCAGAAATTAAGTCTGTGTCCCAAGTCTCAGAGCTTGTTTTGATTCATGGTGACATCAGCATTAAAACCAATGTTTTCTTATTATCAGGGTGCTTTCCATTTTGCTCTATAGCTTTAAGTATTTTTTTTTAAGATTTATTTATTTATTTTAGGGAAAGGGGAGGGACCAAGGGAGAGGGAGACAGCCTTAAGCAAATTCCCCACTGAGTGCAGAGTCTGAGGCTCCATCTCACAACTCTGAGATCAGGACTTGAGCCAAAACCAAGAGTCGATCACTTAATCAGCAGCACCACCCAGGCGCCCCTACAGCTTTAAGTGTTTTTAAAAATTCCTTTAAAAAATACAACTGGGTAATAATGAAGCTTCAAAAATCAGCTAAACAAAATGAGTGGCAAGGTATTTCCAGCTTTCAGCTGTTCTAAAACCAGTTACTGGACAGACTGAAGAGTATGTTTTGGGGTGAGGGGAGGCAAGGGCTGACCAGAGGGTTGGCACAGCAGAAGGGGAGGACTTATTTTTCAAAAGTAATGTGGTGTTACAAGGTACGTGGCCTTTGGAACCCGAGAGACCTGGTGTTGAATCTCAATCCCACTTCTTACTACTCCCTACTTACTGCCAGATTAAATTCTCTGACCCTCAATTTGCTCACTTGCAAATTGGGAATAATCCCACCTAACTCCCAAGGTCCTGTGGGGGCATAATTGAGATATTATATGCAAAGCCCAGAGCAAGGGCCAGGGCTATAAAAATTACTCAATAAACTTAATAAAATATTGTAAAGCTGTTAGCAATAAATATTGCTAAATTCAAGGCTGGTCACCTGATATTAGAGGTGATGGATTTCAGTGGTTCATCCACTTAATCCCATATGCTCACAGACACAAAGGCATAAGGATGCTAAATGGAAGTGCCTGAGGATGGCCCAGCTTGCCAATCTGGACCTTTGCAGTGTGTGCTAGCTGCTGAGCAAGAAGCCCTGATTAAATCTCTGCAGAGTATTCCAGGACGTTATCTTGGCAGATATAAGGCATGAAACCAGCAGATTCCTAAGGCAGAGACAACAACCGAACACTAGAGCTAACTGCACAATTTTAATATTTGTGCTTGATCCCTGACTTACATATATGACCATACTTGCAGCAATAACTAGTCTCTTTCATCTTCATTTAAGACTCCATTGAAAAGCATCAGCTTTATTCCTGCTCTCAAGTTTGTCCTAGGACTGAGTGTTTTTATAAAGAAAGCCACCCTGGCTTTGATAGGGAAAGCCCACCACCCATAGTCTTAGCAGGTGGAAGGCTTCTCAGAGTCGGCCTGAATTCAAACCAGCTTTCCCACCCCCAAGGGACAGACTTGCTTGAGCTTCTCATGCCTTCAGCTTTGTACTGAGACTATGAGAAGGGGAGGGACCCAGAAGACGGATGTAAGTCTCAACTCCAAAGGCTGGTTTCTAGTTCAAGCTCCTAGTGATGCCTGTAGTTAGTGCTTCTTTTCCCTTTGTCTAAATATGTCCCTCCAGAAAGCATCCTTCTCTTACTTTCTTCTTTCACCTTCTCCAAATGAAGAAGTGTTCAAGAAAATTCTTTTAGGCTGACAGCATCCAAGGCAAATGTACAAGTCTCTCAAAAGATTCCTTTTAAAGTAGACATCATGCCAAGGAAGGCAGTGCACCACGCAAGCTTTATGAGAAATTAAAGGGAATGGTTTTTAAGAGGAAGAGATACTCCACGAGTGGGCAAAAGGTGGCTCCCATTTCTGTGCTACTCTAGTCCTCATGATGCCACTTATCCTAGAAGATACAGCAGGGAGAGAGCAGGAAACAAATTAACTCTCCGTTCATGCAAAAACCAGATGACTCTCACAGGTGAGTGATAGAAGGCATGTCCAAAAAGAGTACATGCCAATGTATGCATTTAAATAATGAACGGGCAAAACAAACCAATGGGGATAGAGACCAGATTAACCACAATGATGGTTACCCTTGGGGGTCAGTATTGACAGAGCAGGGAAAAAATAAGGTTTCTGAGATGCTAGTAATATTCTATATATTGATTTAGGTGGTGCTTTCACAAGGATACATAGTAAAAATCTACTGAGTTATCTAGAAATATCTATGTACTTTACATATGTTACATTTCAATCAGAAAGTTAAAAAAATAGATGCACACAATGCAGTACAAGTTTTGAGAATAGAAGGGAATCAATCTAGAAAAGGAGCTTTGCTATTCATGGGCCATGAACACCTGACGAGCGAGGATTAACAAAGCCCTATGCATCTGAGCCACTGATGCTGTTTTTTAAATGATGCTGGGAGAGGCAGAAAGAACTGTGGCAGATACAATTGGCTCAGTCCCATTCTCATCTACCTTCCTTCTTGCCTCTTATAAAATTAAATCTGAAAAGTGAGCATTTCACTTTCATAGTGAAATGCTCACTTTCCAAGTGTCCTGGAATGCTGAGGCCTCCCCAAGATCCATGGTAGCTATGCCGAATATAAGTGTCAAAACTGAGACAAGCTGCGTACCCTCCCTCAGCCCCCCCACCTATAGAGAATGTGATGAGGCTCAGATAATTTGGAAGCACTTTGTAAATGCCAAAGTGTTAAGCATTTCTTTAACATTGTACACCAGTGTTTCTTTCCTTGGCTGAAATACATGGAATGTGAGAGATCAAGTTACCAAGGTCGTTTGGGCTTAAATGTGCTTGGTGTCTGTTGTACCTGGCACCAAATGTAACAACCAAGATTAGCATGACCTTTCCCTTCCTGCCTCCTGGCTTTTCTGCTGTGCTAAGAAGCAATATGGACATTTAAAGAGCTGTCAGATAGCAGTGACAGTTGATACACAGTGACTGGACTTAGAATCAAATCTCCTGAAGAAGGGGGTGATTCTGCAGGAGTATCATCAAAGGTGGGATTTGGGACAAGGCCTCTGAAAGGTGCTCAGGCATGTCAGCATGGGTCTGAACACCTACTGCTCTGCCACAGCCCAGACGGGCCGTCTGCCAGCATCCTGCATCTCATACCCCTCGGCGATAGAAGTGAGAGCCACAGGATATCTTCATCTACAAATTCGCTCCTGTAGTGCCTGAGCCAGAAACTAAGCACCCCCAAAACGAGACAGAAAGAAATGAGACAACATCCCTTCAGCATTTCAACATATTTGTCTGTCTGTCTGTCATTCACAACTGACTGCAAGGTATGAAGGGCCGGGAGCAGGGCTTCATCACCCCACCATAATGCAGGAGGTTAAACACTACCCTCCTGCAGAAACTGGCCCCATGGTGTTTAGCTGAGCCCCAAACACACGTGTGAGACATGCAGGGAAGCAGCATAACATAATGGTTAAGAGTTCAGGTGTGAATCTTGTCTCTGCCACTAAAGTGCCACACGAGTCACTCAACGCCATGAAGTCAGTCCAATCCTTCATCTGCAGAAAGGGGACAGTGATCGTGATGACACTTCATTAGGGTACCGCAGCACCCGATAGTGCTTAGCCAGTTCCTGTTGACATTTGGTAAGCAGGGCATGAATGCTGCTATTATCATAGGGCATCCCAACTGGAGTTCAGGCTGACCCTGCCTCTCACAGGCAGAGACATTCACAAGACATCTCACATATTCTCATCAGGGGAAGCTGGGCAAAGGGCACACAGGACCTCTTATTTTAGTAGCTTCTCCTCAGTCTAACATCACTCCAAAATAAAAAGCATTTTTTTTATTTTTTTTAAATTTTTATTTATTTATGATAGTCACACAGAGAGAGAGAGAGGCAGAGACATAGGCAGAGGGAGAAGCAGGCTCCATGCACCGCGAGCCCGACGTGGGATTCGATCCCGGGTCTCCAGGATCACGCCCTGGGCCAAAGGCAGGCGCCAAACCGCTGCGCCACCCAGGGATCCCAATAAAAAGCATTTTAAATAAGACACGAAACATAAATGAGCCCTTCCACTTTCCCTTTGTGAAACCTAACTTTGAGTATAAACCCTTCAGGGGTCGGTCTTTTAGGCTGCTCCTTGCTGAATCTTCAGAAAGCAACAGAAAGAAACAACAAATATCAGGCATTGACTAAAGTTCTAGTGAGCTCGGTCTGGGCAGATTCCTGACACACGAGCCAATGGTCTACACCAGTCTGTGAGAAGATTACTACATTTCTGCGGAATGATTCAAGTAGAGGAATCCTATATCCTACATTGATTTTTGCAACAGTCTTCCCATCTATAAAATGTGCATCCTTGCCATCGACTTGACTTCGGATCATACTACCAGAGAGAAGCAGACACAATGTCATGCACACCTTTAACTAATGATGTTGTATTGTGTCAGAGCTACTGTTTGGCAAGTTTGATTATCTGTGTGGTTTTCACAATGGATTTAACAGTTACCCAGCCTGAAGGTTCTTCCTC